TGAGCAAGGGGCAGAAGAAGACAACCCCTATGACTGAGGTCTGACCTGGTGGTGCATTTGATTTTCTAGAATGTGCCCTGATTCCTGGGGCTGAAGCACTTGATCTTAAACTTGTTCCCTCTAACTTTGATGGTTGAATAGCTTGGGGTCTCTGGGCTTGCCCAGGTCTTTGGAGCCCCGCCTCCCTTCAGAACCTCTTTTAAGCACGAATGGGTTTGTAGAAAACTGTGGGAGGCGGTGGGGTTTAGGATCCTTCTACATACAATGTGGACACCTCTCAAGCCTGGTCCAGTGTTGTTATGAGTGCTGTGATATGGCTTTCTTTGCTGACCGTGCTGGTAGTACAGGTTAGGCAGTGGTGACTTGGGGGAGGAAAAATATGGCTGTCTTGTCCATAAAGCTGCAGGGTCTCAAAAACCCTATACAAGGTCATTATGAGTCAAAAGCAATCAATGGCAGTAGGTTTGTTGAGGGTTTTTTTGTTGTTGTTGTTTTGTGGTACTGACTAGGGTTCTCTCCTCTTTGACAAGGGCCTGAACAAACTGAACATGTATTTAAATAATAGCACTCCTTTTTCAATTTTTTTACTAGACATTACATTTTTTTATTTTCCTTTTTTTTAAAAGCACTCTCATAAGAAAAGTCTTATCCTTACCACCTGAGTGCGATTTGTTTTTCATTGTTTTCTGTGGGTTTTCCAAGCTGTGAAGCACCAGAGGTGTGGCTGTATAATGAAATAATGGATATAAGGTGTTATAGGGATTGCCTGGGTGGGGGAGCAGGGGCAGGGCGACAGGGAGGGAAATGGGATTTTGGGGGTAAATACCCTGTTTCCCCGGAAGTAAGACATCCCCGAAAATAAGACCTACTTACACTTTTGCCTCTCACTGAAATATAAGGCATCCCGCCCGAAAATAAGACCTCCCCAAACATAAGGCCCCCTGAAGCTACTGTGACTCTGGACCGTAGCGGCGGGTGCTGCCGTGCAGCTCACTGTTGGCCGCAGCGCAGCCGGAGCAGGCAGGAAGTGTGAGGTCTCTTTTAATAAAACAAGAAACAATAAATGTGTACTGTATTCTTCTTCATGGAAAAATAAGACAACCCCTAAAAATAAGACCTAGTGTATCTTTGGGAGCAAAAATTAATATAAGGCACTGTCTTATTTTCAGGGAAACAGGGTAATGAAGGCGGGAGGGGGGAGGGAGCAATAGAACTGATCGTGATTACACAAATCCGTTTAAAGGCAATTTAATCATGGGGGTCGGGGGAGACTCTAAGATAAATGTGATGATTGCACAACTCCCCTTGATATGATTGCATTATTGAACTATTTAATTGTCAATATGTAAATTATGTGCCATTAACACTGTTGGGGCAGGGAACGGAAAGTCTCGTGTCCAATTAACTTTGTCTTTAAAGAGCTCTTGGTACTCGCTGCGGAACAGGAGGCTGTATGGTTGGAGTGAAGAGGCATCGAAAGGGAGAGGAGGATGTTGTGCTTGTCTCCATTGAAACCAGTAAAATGTACATTAGCAATCGGTTGATGACTAAGTCATTCATTTTCTTCTTAGTTTATAGTCGATTACAAAATGGTTGGCAAACTTAAAACAAAGAGCATACATAGTATAAAGAAAACATCGGTCTCTCCGCAGCCTCACCAGCAGCTGTTCTTTTCTGTTTGCATTTGTAACATTCCTGTTTTCACAGAGGGGAGGGTGCTCTTTCACTGGTGCCTGATGGCTGATGATCGGGAACACTGCTTCACAGGTGACTGTGCGCAGTCACCTGAACGTCTTCTTTGGGGAATTCTCTCTTCACGTTCTCTGCCCATTTTAACTCAATTGTTTGGCTTCTCCTTGTTTGAGTTGTTGACGTTTTCTGTACATTTTAGAGATTAGCCTCTTGTCTGGTACGCCATTGCCACAATTTTTTTCCCTCAGTGAATGGGTGCTCTTTTTACTCGTTTGGTGAAATCGTTTGCTGTATTTTACGGTTTCAATCTTCGATGGTCTCAGTCATCTACTTTGTCTTTTGTTGTTTGTAATGTTTTTCCTGCCTTTCTGGGCAGTTGTGTTTTCAGGCTGCTATCTCCCCTGAATATTATTTGCCAAAGGTCAAACCAGCCTCACTCTGTCAAACCAATTGATAATTCACCTTTCCATCTGTCTCTTCCCTCCTAAATTTCATTCAGGTTCTTCTCCTACCCTATGTTCAACCCACTTCTTTTTTTAAAATAATTAAATCGTTTTATTGGGGGCTTGTACAACTCTTATCACAATCCACACATCCATCCATTGTGTCAAGCACTTTTGTACATTTGTTGCCATCCTCATTCTCAAAACATTTGCTTTCTACTTGGTATCAGCTCCTCGTTTTTCCCCTCGCTCCCCCTTCCCCTATGAACCTTTGATAATTTATAAATTATTGTTTTGTCATATCTTGCACCATCCAATGTCTCCCTTTACCCACTTTTCCACTGTCCGTCTCCCGGGGAGGAGGTTGTATGTAGATCTTTGTAATCTGCTCCCCCTTTCTCCCTCACCTTCCCTCCACCCTCCCTCCAGATATCGCTACTCTCCCCACTGGTCCTGAGGGGTTCATCTGCCCCAGATTCCCTGTGTTTCCAGTTCCTATCTATACCAGTGTACATCCTCCGGTCCAGCCGGGTTTGTAAGGTAGAATTGGGATCATGACAGTGGGGCGAGGGGGAGGAAGCTTTCAAGAAGTAGAGGAAAATTGTATGTTTCATCATTGCTACACTGCACCCTGACGGGCTCGTCTGCTCCCTGCGACCCTACTGCAAGGGGATGTCCAATTTCCCACAGATGGGTCCTGGGTCCCCACTCTGCACTCCCCCTTATTCACAATGCTATGATTTTTTTGGTCTTTGATGCCTGATACCTGATCCCTTCGATGCCTTGTGATCTTATGCAGGCTGGTGTGCTTCTTCCATGTGGACTTTGTTGTTTGCCAGTTAGATGGCCGCTTGTTTATCTTCAAGCCTATAGAACGCCAGACTCCATATCTTTTGATAGCCAGGCACCATCAGCTTCTTTCTTCTGAAGCTTGAGGTTCCAGGATTATCGTTCACATGGTTCACTGAGTCTCTCAGGTCTAGGTTGTAGAAGGTCTGTGTCTGGAAGTCTCAAAAACATATGCTTGGTGCCACCACATGCTCCCCTTGCACATGTCAGGATGTCTCATGGTGGAGATTCATGTGGATCTTGAAATTAAGTTGTCCAGGAACAATAGGAAGTTTTGGAACAGCAAGAAATCTGGCTTTGCCTGACTACCCAGTCTCCACCAATGTTCCTTTCTTTCTCCCTCATGGACCACTCGGCCCTTTATCGAGCCCTTTCGGCTGTGTCAAGGTATTGTTTTGTTGTTTAACAGAGTCTCTGGACGAAATAGAGTTCTTCAGAATGTACTTTGGGAAATGTTGACTTTAAGTATTAGTATCTTGAAAGGATTACACGCCTTCTTGCCCCCTGCAAGTGAGGAATGGAGCTATGGGTTGCAGAGTTGAGGAACTCATCTTTTACATGTGACTATTGCTGCCAAGGTCTCACCCCTAAACTCCTAAGTTCCCTCTAAAGTTTGACCATCAAGAACTTAGATTTCTTCCAGAGCAAGGAAGCATCAGTGTTGAGAGTCCCATTTCTTTACAGGCCTGTAAAAGCTACACTTTTTAACTCCTTGCTCCATCTTTCTAAGACTCGAGGTTTGCCAGGGGATATACCAGAACATTCTAGAATTTGTGTGTATGGTATCTGATGGCATGAGAGAGAAAATATTAGAAAAGTAGTATATTCTCTCTAGAATTCACATGGGTCACCTGAATATTTACTGACAGGTTTCTTTCCTTGTTTAAAAATCATTTTATTGGGAGCTCTTACAGATATTATAGCAATCCATAATTCAATTAGATCAAGCATAATTATACAATTGCCACCATCAATTTCAAAACATTTTCTTTCTTCTTGAACTCTTTGATATAAGCTCTCCTTTATCCCTTCCCTCCCCTCCACCCTCAAGAACACTTATATTATATTGTGTTATGTTATATATTTATACTTTTTTGCCATATCTTACACCGTCCAATGTATCCATTCACCTACAATTCTGTTATTCATCCCCCTTGAGGGGGGTTATACAGTTATCATTGCTATCAGTTCCCCCTTTCCCACCTTTCCCCCACCCCACTCTTCCTGTACTATCAGGGAATCATTACTCCCATTACTATTTCTGCAGGGTTTATATATCTTGGATCTCATGAATTAAAAGATCTTAATTATACAAATGAACATACACAGGTCCAATGAGATTAATGAGGTAAAACTAAGGGGAGGGGTAAAAAGTAAGGGAAGGGAATATTAAAGACTGGAGAATAGTCAGTTATATGTTTCATCAGTGCTAAGCTGCACCCGGGGTATAGCATCCTTCCATGTGGTCCTTCTGTGAAGGACTGCCCAATTCTCTTACAGGTGGTTTTGGGTCTCCACTTTGCCTATGCTCCTTCACATCAATTTGATTGCTTGGACAGGGGTTTTTCTTAATGTTTGCATACACACAAAGGGACTTCAAAAGTTGTTGGAAAATAGGATGAAAAGATAATGAAATTTTTCTATGAACTTTTATATACTCTTTACATGCACACCACCACCAGAGATATGTGTTCTAGAAACTATTATATTTAAACAATGGTATATTTCAATGTCAGATGTGTCAATAGGAAACAGTATGTCTGGCTTGTTGGCCAAACATCATTCTTTGGAAAAGCAGAAGAGCCGCTGCCTGACTTCAGGTCAGCCGTGGGAGTCCCCTGCCCTTGTCCTAGCCGTGTTGATTGGACTCCAGTGACACGGTTTGCTAGGTCATGAGAAAAACGGGTTTGAGTCCTCGAGTGAACAGAATGGATGTGCTCAATGGTACTTGGAATGTTTTTCATGAATATTTTAAGCAATGACTTGATTCTTACTTGTACTTATTCTTTTTGAAAGTATTAGAAAGGAAGATATCCACAAGACAAAGTAGAGAGGAGCTGATAAGAAGGGGAGTTCTTAAGGAATTGCCTGATCAAGGTGAGGAAATTAATCATATATTTAAAATAATTTGATCGTCTGTTCTCTGGCCTTTCTTTTCATTTGCTTTGAAACTTAAGATGAATGTGGTCTGCGGTAGGGAGTAATGCACTCCAAGATTCTTGCTTTAATCCATAGTGCCATTGTGGCCTGGGGACAATCTGAGGCTTTTTAGAAAAGAAATTCCACGAACTCACTGATGAACCCTTCACCATATGTCACTTTAAACCCTCAGATTTACAGAGATACATTTGGGACTGGAGACATGGATATAATGCAAATGGATGCTTCTTTCTCTTCTCTGTACTTGAACTTCAGTCTTGCTGTACATGTTAATTCAGTTGTTTTGAGTAACTGCAAAGTTTTAGCTCGATCCATGCCTTGCTTGTTCATGAAGACTTCCAAGAAAGGAAAAGAGATGGGAAATGGGCCTCTGGTCTTTCACACTTTATCATACCGTCAAAGTTGCCATCAATAAGACAAGAATGAGCAAACCAAGTAATTCATGCTTTATGCGTTCTCTTAAATGATTTTTTTTTTTTGTCCAAGTATGGTTCCATTTTCTTTTCTCTGGATCTATTTTTTCTCTCACCCTTTTCACGAACTGTTACTTCCAAGTATTCTTGTCTTTTACCTCTGAGTTCCCTGCTTTTTATGGCCCAAGGGGAATTCTTGATCAAAAAGACAGGACTAGATACAAACTGAGGTTGGCCCTCCAAAGAGACACCAGCATTCATGATTTCTCCAGATAATGCCAAGTGGCTTTCATCACTTCCACTGCGATTAAAATTAAAGGAAACTTTAGTTGCAACATTGTTGATTTATCTCATGTCTTTTATGCTCTAAAATTTACTGAGGTAAAGTATTATTATTATACTTTTCAGGAACAAAGAAAATGTTATTAATTTAGAATTGAAGTAATAGTGTTCTTTCCTGATATATGTTCCTTGCAAAGAGCTTAAGATTTTTTGGCAGTTCACTATTTATAAATCCAAATGACATGTTTTTTTCCAACATCTGAATATTTCCAGCGTGGAATTGGGAAATACTTTATTGTTTTTCCTCCCACTTCAAAGAAAACAAAGGAATCTGTAGTGAATAATACCATTTTCCTGAGCCTTCACAATTTTAAGTATTTTATTTTAATTTCTGATCTGTCAAACTTTTCTCACAACACTTTATGAATGAATTTTATGTCTTTCCTTTATGTCTTCCCTGGTTTTCTATTACCTTAAAGCCGTTTATTTCCTGTCTGGGACGTTGGGGAAAATTTTTTTTAAATGCATGTCCCTTACTTTTTTTAAAACTTGAGGTTGGACTTGCAATATGAAAATTCATCTCCTGTCTTCTGAGCAGTGGAAGAAAAATACATATCCACCGAAAGTTGAAACCTAAGCCATTAATTGTATGCAATGGGGCAATGTCTTTCTTCACTAGGAAATATTTTAAAGAAATCTGAAAATGGAAATTTCTATGATTGAAGTTGCTAATGGGTTTTAAAGCAGAAATTGAAACTACTTTTTCCCCCAACTAAAATTTATAGGTAAGGGAGAAAAGGGTATTTTTGTTCTCAAAAGTAACCAGTAATGCTCAGTTTAAAGTAATATTTAGTATTGCTTGGTTTTTACTCTGCCTAATTTGTTAAAATGTAGCCCAAGAGGCAGTTGTTTGAACAAAATAAGGGGATACACAGGGTTTACACTCAGGACAAGTGCACACCAGGACTGTATCCTCTCACCATGCTTATTTAATTTGTATGCTGAGCAAATACTTTAAGAAGTCGGTCTAGATGAAGAGGAACACAGCTTCAGGATTGGAAGAAGATTCATTAACAACCTGTGATATGCAAATGAGACAACCTTGCCTGCTGATAGTGATGAGGACTTGAAGCGCCAACTGTTGAAGATCAAAGACTGCATATAGCCTTCAGTATGGGTTACAACTTAAAAAAATAATCCTCAACGACTAGACCAATCAACAACATCATGGTAAATTGGGGGGGGGGGTTGTTTTATTTTACTTGGATCACAATCAGTGCTCAGGGAAGCAGGAGTCATGAAATCAAGCGCCATATTGCCTTGCGCAAATCTGCACAAGCCCTCTCTTACCGTGTCAAGAACACAGGTGCCATGTGAAGGCCCAAGGTAAACCTGACCTAAACCACGGTGCTTTTGATCACTTCATATACTTGTGAAAATTGAACTGTAAACAAGGAAGATTGCACTATTGATGTGGTTGGTGAAACAAATGAATAGACTACGGACTGCCAAAGGAATGCACAAATAGGTGTGGAACACATATGAACAAATATGTTCATAAGCATGAACAATGGCATCGCTCCTGGGAAGCGAGGATGGTGGGACTTGGTCAGGTGTATTTGGGGGATGTTCTCAAGAGGGATCAGGCCCTAGACTAAAAACACCGTGCTTGGGAGATGGTCGATGAAAAAGAAGCCAAGGAAGACCGTCCAGGAGATGATTGACACAGCGGCGCCCGGATGGGCTCCAGCACAGGAACAGTTGTGAGGACAGCGCAGAATGTGTGTCCCTCTGGTGTAAGGAGGGTCGCTGTGAATTGGAACTGAACTGACTAAATGGCCTCTGGTAATAATTTGTCAAACGATTTGTATGATAGATTCTCATTTCCTTAGCCAGTGTATACCTGTTCCCCATAAACCTAGCTCAACGTGACCTTTTCATTTACAGCTGAAACACTAAAAGTGTGAAGACATTTTTTTAAAAAATCTTAACCTCCCTGAACATACTAGATGTCATCTTTGGAAAGTCTTGGACAACTGAATGTTCCACCTCTATGAACCAGTTGCCATTGACTTTAATCCAACTCATGGCATCCCCTGCGGGTCAGAGCAGAACCAGGTTTTCAAGGGCAACTTGTTCAGAAGGACATCACCAGAACTTTCTCTCCGTGTGGATTCTCTAACAGCCAAGTGTGTGCTTGTGTATGCAACTAGAGATACCAGGTCCTATCTAGAACTATAAAAAAATTACCTAATGTTTGGAAGTTCCTGGTCATGTTGACTGTAAGTGGCATCCTTCCCATTTCAACCAAGGGATGGGGAAAAGAGTTTTATGTTTGGGGGTGGCGGGGTTGAGGGTTAAATTATCTTGAAGTTTCCAGTCTGTTTTTAGCTCTAGAGGCAGTTGTTTGGGGTGGCATCCTCCGCGCTTCTGCCTATGAAGATGGCCTTCCTGTAGTTCTTGTCATGCCTTGTCAGTTTTTCCCTTTATTCCGCAAGCCAGATTTTTTTTTTAATCCCTCAAGTTTACCATAGTTTCACCTCATCCCAGCCCACCTCAACTCCTCACTCCAGCTTATTATTAGTAGTCCTATCAGATGATACTTCTCACACCAAGATCTACCTTCAATGTAAAAGTTCAACAATTGGCCTCCCTTGAAAAAGACATGGTCTGCGTCCAAGTCTTCCTTCTATTTTCTTGTTCTCATCATTTTTCTTAGCTTGAACTTGAGGACTGATAGGCGTCTTTTCCGATCTGCCCTGCCTTTTTGTCCTATTGGATACTTGCTAACTTTTTCATAGGTTACGCACCTTTGGGTCACATGTGGGTCTCCCCCCCCCCCTTCTAGCTATTACTCCATTAACTGTGTCCCTAATTGACTTGTTTTCTAACAAAATCAGCCCTTCCAAACACTTTCAGACTTACATGACCATTTGCTTATTCTTTCTGTTTGATCTCTTGATTTCCTCAGCTTGCTTGAGTTTTTTGTTTGCATGCAGATGCTGCTGTTAGACTTGGCAGTGGGCTTCAGAGTAACCTGTTCTCTCGCTCAGCTTCTTCTCTTGCATTCATTTATTCTGCTTGCATTTCACTCATAGATATACATAAACTATAACAAGTGTTGGACTTATTTTAAATCTAAAACAACTTTCTTAATACCCCAAACTAGGAAAAGAAAAAACTAGAAAAAACAAACTACGAAAACACTTTTCCGGTTCATGAATGATTTATAATTATTGAATAATTCTGTTTGTTCTCTCTTCTTGAAGTTCTTCGTTTCCTCATATTTATTCCAAACAGGTTTCCTTTTTCTGCATCATCTTCATGTGCACCAGGTTTATTTCATGGCCCCATCTAAGTATCTTCTATATTATGACTATTTCTATCCTATGATAGTCCATTTTTTCTGTATGTCACAACTGCTTAATTTTCTATCTAGCGTATCCATTCTCAATTTGAAAAATCAGTTCTTTAACTCACTAATAAATTTTCATACAATAATGTTTAAAATATAATTAAATCATCATGTAACATGGCTTCCACATATTCTTATTACCAACAGAAATAGAAAGAAACAGATCCATTTAAACTGGGAAACCTAATCTTAGAGAAAGAAAAATTATTTTCTGTTTTCCTTGAAGTTTCTCGTTTTACCTCAGGTTTTATTTTTCTTGATGCCAAATCTGTACATTATATGATACCATCCTAGAGTCTGCTTTTATTCTTTACAGCTTAAGATTTCAGAATTGAAGCTAAGAGCCTTCTGGCTCCTTTTTGGTTTCACATATAACCCCAAACAACTCAACCCATTGCCATTGAGTCAACGCTGATTCACAGCACCCCTATAGAAGGTTTCTACGGCGGCTATAGATGTGTACAGGCCCAGACAGCTTCATTTTCCTCCCCAGGAGCAGCTGGTGGGTTTGAACCACCAACCCTGTGGTTAGCAGTCCAGTGCCACCAGGATGCCCCTGAAAAATTCACAACTTCCCTGAAGTAGTTTCGATTTATTTGCTGCAGCATTGCCGTGAACTCTTTTTTATTTAAGTTTTACAGGAATCAGATTATAGGTACCTAGAAATTATATGACCAGGCAACAATTGATTTTTCATTTTGCGAATGACATTATTCTATGATCATGGATTTTATCGATGCCTTGCTTGTTTGGTCAATAGGCCCATGGATTTTATTGTTGGGCCAAAGTAATTCAATCACATTTAATGAAAACTTGGAAGATGGTCTGTTCTATAATGATCATGAAAATAGGTTTATTCAAACTCTGCATAAAAACAATAGTAGACATGCATTTCTGCAGCCTTGCTAAGTCCAAGCCTCCATTCATGAATGTTTCTTGTACAATGGTACAAGATTTGCTAGATTATGAACAAAGTTTAGGCTTTTCATCACCAAGTTAAAAGACTCTGCAAAACACATTCATGATTGAAATTCACAGGAATGGTGAAGATTCAGAGGTTAAAATTAGTTCTTTAACATTTGGATGACATTTTAGATATTTTCAACTGTGCTTTTTAAAAGCCCTCTGAACATTTTTGTATGTGGCTTCTCTGTTTTCAAATTATTATCAGGCCAATTTAATGGCCTTAAATTTTATATAACAGTTTAACTGAGTATCTTTTACGAATAAGGAAATGAAAAAAATGACCTCACTACGTTTTTCCTCATACCACGTTGCAATGATATTACGTGTAAAGTTGCACATAATAGATGTAATAAGCCTTGGAGACAATGGTGCTTACAAGGTTTCGTGTTCTCCCACTAATTGTTTGTATATGTGGCTACATGTCATGTTCTTTGTGTGTTTCCATGTAGTCTGTGTTTTGGGTGTTAAACCGTTTATTTCAGTTTCCAGATTTCTCCTGTCACCGTTCAGTTTCTGACTGACAAAGAGACTCGTAAGTGTTGACGTCACCAAAACCTAAGGGGGGCAAAACAAACAGAGAATCAGCTCCCTGGAGTATTTTAAAATGAGAATGAGTTTTCCTTTGTTTTGAGAAGGCAAGTGAATAATCCCTGCATAGCTGCTCTCCCCCAAGACTGAGAGGGTTTACTGGCTCTTTGAGTTACATAAAGCACTTACTTGAATCTGGTAAAAAAAAAAAAAAAACCCAAACAAATAAAAACCAGTATTGATCCCAGGGACTGTAACATGAATCCAAACCTAACCATCCTCGTAACTGGACAGTTGGTTTTGAAGAAAGCTGTCAAAGTAGACATCTAGGTGTTTCTTTCCCCATTTTAGATGGAGATCTAACAGTTAACTTTGAAAATTCAAACGGGCACATGATACCCATCGGAGAGGAATCTACCAGAGAGGAAAATGTAGTAAAATCTGAAGAAGGTAATGGCTCTGTTTCTGAAAAAGCGCCACCTCGGGAAGAAGAGGCAGAAGATAAGAAAGGTAAAATACAGAGAAAACCCCATGCATTTTTCTTTGATAAAGCTTGATGTTGGAAACGAGGTCCCAGGCTCCACATAACAGCTCTAAAACCAGTAGAGTCTGTAGCGTGGAGGTGAAAAGCTTTAAGGAGGAGTGAAGTGCTAATTAGGGAGCAGAAATATGACTTCTCCAGGTAGATCCATCAACTTTTTAAGCACATGAGGTCATGTCGTATTAAAGAGCGTACTGACAGGGAATCATCAAAGCAGGGACTTCTTCGGTCATCAGGAATGACTGGGAAGATCACCCTTTCCTTGGGAGCCCTTCCGGACTATATCTTGTTTAAGCCAAAGGTGGAATATCTTTCCCTGCCGGTAGAATGAGCTCCTGTGTGTAGTTGGGATGCAGGACTTGGAGGACCGTCAAAGTCCAGACGGCTCACACGACATAGCACATCATCGCCAGGACTGACTGGGTTCTCGGCCAATGGCCTCCGCACCCCCAATGGGTAGGTTCTAATCCAGATTCAAGGCATTTCTGAGGGAGATCCAGGAATACTGTGGTCTGTGCCCCGGGCTAATTGCCACAGCTTCTGCTCTGTAACTCTTCTATATAACTGGGCATTAAAAACACATGGCAGAGGCTCTTGTGCCATTCCCTGCAGACATCTACGGGAAACCTAGGTTTCTAGAGCGAAGATGCTGTGTTAAATTGAGATACTTACAGAATAGCTGTCTATCAAGGACTCCACAAGTTCATGTCCACTAATAGATTAGACTCCAATTTCACTGCTATTACTTGCAGGAAGTTCCAAGGCTCGTACTGATGCAAGCCTTGACGGAAGGTCGCATTGAGTTAGTTTAGATGTTGTTGGGAGAGTCTAAGTGACTCGCTGCAGTACATGAATTCTCAGGAAATTAATTTTCTCCTGCGGAGAATGTCTGCAGCCTTTCAGTTGAGTAGCAAAGTTTGTCAAACCAAGTTTGAATTCTCCAAAGATAATGGGGACATAGAGCATTTGGTGACCCCAATAAGCAGATGCTGTTTAAAAGACATCTTCCTAGAAGTCCATAGCACTTATTATTTACATAGAAATTGGCATTTAACCTATTTTAGAACCCCTTATTAATAATCTATTGTAAATTTGTTGCTTTGCTTTATTCAAATATTTATAGGACCTTACTAATTAATACTAGTCTTGTTCCATTTAGGGACTCTAGTATTGTTGATGAGCACTGATTTTGAGAAATTCACTAATATTTTAATGATAGTATTCTTAGACCATAAAGAGAAAGTAGATGTAAATAGATTTTAATGGAATTCGGTGGAAAATATGAGTGTAAGTAGTGATTTTTTTTTTCTTAAGCACAGTGGCCTGTCTTGCCAACCTGTTCAATTGCAAATCCATCTCTGTGCATCCCTGGTACAGCCACCGCCTTTTCACAGGCAGAGCGCACATCCTTCAGGATGTACTTGGGCCATCTTAGTGCTTGCCTGCTCAGGGCTGGGCATCAGTCACTGAACTGGCCTGACTTCAAAGTAAGTGTCCCTTATCCCCCTAATGGAAAGTTGCTGACAGTTTGATGTTAATGAAATCTCGGGACCTTGATGTTCTGAAAGGAAGACGGCAGCCCTCATAGGACCACGGGTATTTGAGAGGTGCTTTTGTTTTCTTATTCCTTGCTTGGGGTGAATCCATGTTGTTTGCTTTGGTCAACTGAGGGCTGAGATAGTATCTAGCTTGGCTAATCTATCTATACATAGGAAGTAGGAGTGCTGGAAATAGTAGCCTGAGCCCCAAGTAAGGCAGCATGCCCACCCGCACTGCATGTGGACAGCGAGCCGCATTCATAGTGAGGAGAAGCACTTACCATCGCTTTCTGAGAAAAAGAATGGGACTCACAACTAAAATAACAGTATTGTGATATATATATATATATATAGATCTCATAAACAAAGTACAGAGTTATTTCTGTGGACTGACATTTAATTTGGAAAGCAAGGGCCACTTTACTTCTGCTCCTCTTCTGTGGGCTCATGAGTGTGTCCACCCATCCTTACATGGTAGGGGGAAGAACCGTGCAGCTGCCTCACTTGTTCTGGGTGTTCTGCAATTAACGCCTTCATTGCGGTAGCAGGAGCCCCATCTGGAGCTGTAGTGAGGCTTGTGTTCCAGTCTGTATTGCTATGAAGCCTACTGTCCATATTCAGTCAGAGGCAGAAAGCACTTTCGTAACCTCATCTTGAAAAGATAATACACCCAGTCCTTAGTTATCAACATGATTAGGTTCCAAAGACCACTGATTATTCAAAAATGGAGGTATGATCGCACCAGGTCACAAAATGGAGGATCATCATTATATAACTGCTAAGCCCCTGAGAATCATGGGCCAGTCCAGTGGACACATAACCACTACCTCACATCTTAGCATTTTTGCAATGCCAGAATTACAGTGTCAATGTGCAAAATAATCAGAGAATTGACTTTTCACTCTGGTCATAAATTTGAAATATCAGATGATGAAGTTGTTGACAAGGGAGGAGTCATGTACACCTGTCTGACTTTATCATGCCATCAGATCATAAGGCTAGTGAGCACTACAGCCTGACTTAGTACCTTCCAGATAGGAAGGCCTGTCAGTAAGTATTGCTGCAAAACCATGGAAATCTTTATCAAATGAAAATGTGATGCTATTGTTTGTCAGCAGGTCCCATAGATAGGTCTCCACACTTCTGAAGGTGATGTTTCCATCTCTCTTGACCTTCCCTGAAGAATTCTGGGACTTTTTGCACCACATTAAAATGGCAGTTTTGGTATCCACGCAGGATTCCAATTGTGTTCTCTTTACATTTCTTTGAGTTGGGGGAACAAAAAGAAGCCTGAAGGGGCAAGGTCATGGGATAAAGTTTCAAAGTAAAATTATCCAAGGACAGCCCTTGCTGTCTTTGAAGAATAAGCAAGTATGCTATCAAGATGATGGGAAAATGCCTCTGCCCAACTGCCCATGGCCTTGTTCTCACCAATGCAGCTTTCAGAGTTCTGAAAATCGTCATCCAAGGCCCTTTGGGGGCGGGGGAAGGTTACTCCTTTGGAGTCTAAAAACAGTCACCAGACCCTTCGGAGCTGACCTCTCTTCCTTGAATGTAACGGATAGAGCAGAACCCCTCGGAAGGCACTGTTTTGACAAGGCATTTTTTAAAGGCACCCCGAAGTGTATTACAGGGACAGTTTGTCAGCAGTCTTCACTGATCCCAAATAGACAAGTAGAAAGATGTGTTTACGCGTGACTCGTGGGAGCTAAACCCAGGCACGTGTAACTAGAATCCCAGCAGCAATGCTTTTTGACTTCCTCTCATGCAATCAGAGAATTGTTTTCAAATCAATCATCGAATAGCTAGCTGCCTTGTTTGGAGCTTTGTATCTGATGGGATATAAAATTTCAGGCTGAGTTTATAATGTAGTTAGACAAACACACCCTGTACATGTACGCATGCATACACATACTCACCCGTGTCCCCGTATCGACCACCCCAAGGTCACCATTCGCACTGGCAGGTTGTTGAGCGCTGCACAGAGGATTGGTCAGAGACGGAGTAACAAGGAGTGTCCCCATTCTCCCCAAGGAAAGAACGAGCAGCGCTCCTGCTCTGGGTGCTCATGTTCCCCAAAGCCGTAATTGCCATTCCCACTGGGCTTAGCCAAGCCCGAAAGCTGGCTTTGGGGGCGATAACGAGAATTTCAAACCTTAGGCAAAAAGGGAGACCATTCCTCGGTGGTTTGTGGTGAAGGGAAAGGAGAAGGCATGTGTGTAGGGTTTGTCATGGGAACAAGGTCTGGGAGGGTACGTGTTGCAGTTCAGGTGGACTGGTTGGCCCTCACCTGGGACAAGTGATATTGGGCTTGATCCCCATCCCCAGTAGGGTGCCAGGATGGAAGTTACCAAGCTGCAGCAAAGAAGAGGCTTCTGCCCTAACCTCAAAAGATTGGCACATCGAGGCAGATCTGTAAGCAGTCCTTCAACTGTTTCAAGTGGATGGCATTGTGCAGTACACTGGATTCCTGACTGCCTTTTGCCATTAACTTGCAGTCTAGGTCAGACTAGGTGAGAGGCGAGAGCTCCTACCACCTTATAAATATCAGCAGCTCTGTTGAGGCAACAATGTGGACAGATAGAAAGACAACACCAGTAGCCTCAGGTAGATGTTCAGTGAGCAGCCCCACAAGTACAAATGACTTCAGAGTTCCACGGGGGCTGCAGTGACTGGGGAGGACTTCATGGCTGGGGTGGGATAAAAGATGAACTTAGAAGGAAAAGTGTATGGATCAGCTCGCTGTTAACATAGCATTCTGCGTGGATCCATAGGGATGTGGGGGTCCCTGGTTTTAGTGGGAAATACTGGCATTTTCCTTCTCAGGCAGGTTTCCACCTGACACCCCAGATTCCTGCTGTCACAGGTGTGACTGTCATCATAAACCGTGGCCCATTCTAGCATGACAGTGCCCTCTGCCCTCCACTTTTTGACTCTGCGGTCCTGAGGGGAGCCATCTGGAAGAGGCTGGTTCTTAGTTTGAGCGCTGTCTCACGTTTCCGGTTGCACTCCGTTTTGGACGGGATGCTGCTTAGCTTTTCAGACCTGAGCCAGGTTTGGGTTTCTTGTCCTTCTCGTCAGTCCACACTCGAGAAGCCCGGCCCGCGATGCTGGGAACGCGTCTCCAGCATCTCCACGCTCTGTGGAGGGAGACTAACAACCGTTTCCCCTCCCGCTGCTCAGCATCGGGAAAGACTTCTGTTTGGGGGCTGATCCTTGTTGCTGCTGTTGGATGCATTGACCTTTGTCTTTTTCAAAATCCTTATTTGTGCATACACAACAATCTTTTGGGGTGTGTGTGAAGTCCTGAACCCTCTAGAACCATAGTGAGGGTACTATTGGGAAAGGTGGCACATTTTTCTAAGATGGAAGTCACCCTACTACCTTGGGAGCTCTTGAAAATATCTCCCCAGCAGGAGACAGCCCGTTCTTCATGGGCCTGCCCCTTGTGCAAAAGCATCTACAGAGTCTCCCTCAGCTGAGAACGGCTTGGGTTTTGACCCCGTGAGACTGGGTAGAGACCCTTCGGCCTGACTTGCTTGAGTGCTGCCTCCGCGGGTCCTGATCACACATCGCTGTGTACATCAGTGTCACCCACTGACCTCCCATCTCGGAGGGAGGCCTTTCGCTCTTTTGCTTCGTTGTTAACAGTTGTGCAACTTGAATTGCACAGCACTGTAGCAACATTGCGCAGGTCACTCACCCCGCAGCAGCCACAGCACAGTTTCAAGGCTGGAGTGGCCCCCAAACGTGTAGACATTGGCAGGCATCCCCATCAACCTTCATCAACGTAACTCCCATCAGCCTGCTCTCGATGCCCCAGGGAGCACACCCCAGTTTGGCTTTCAGCCTCTGTTTTCGCCACAAACTTGGCCTTCCTGGGTACTGAACTCCATGCTGGTTCCCAAAGCATGGAGCTTTGGGACCAACCGGCTGCCTGTTTGTATCACTGCTGCCGTGTCTTGCTTTTCCATGTGTCTGTCTGGTGTGCGTCTGTATCAGTCTGCTTCTGTTCACTCTCTCGTTTGTAGAGAACACTGGAAACCACCCTGAAACACCGGCAGCTCCGGCTCCAGCTCCCCCAAAGCCTAAGCCCAAACCTAAACCCCCCAAAACACCGGCGCCTCCAAAAGGTGCCTCGGTGGGGGCGAGCCACAAGGGTGACGAAGTGCCTTCCCTTAAAAAACACACCAAGGCTCCTGGTAAACAGGCCCCCGTCCCTCCACCCAAGCCAACAAGCCGAAATGCAACCCGGGAGGCTGGTGAGTATGCCCCGGTGCACAGCGGGGTTAAGATTACAGGGCATCCACCCAGGGATGGGATTGTTGTCTCTTCTGGGGGGAGGACTTTTGGTGTTTTCAGACTTGATACTTGTGGGCTGGCAGGACATTCAGAATGCCCAGGATAGTCCTTTGGTGCGATCTCTGCCACCAAAATGTCAACCCTTCATTGAGGGGTTAATACCTTCAGAAGTCCCGGCTCAGTGGACACGCACTTGGCTGCTGTCCAAAAGGTCGGTGGGTCAAACCCTAGGCCAGAGATGTGGCAGTCTGCCTCTGTCGCGCTGGCAGCCTGGGGAGCCCGGTGGGGTGTGAGGCAGCTGCTGTCGCCAGAATCTGTGCCTAAGGCCCAGTGGAAGGTGACCGGGAGTTGTCTGCCCGATAAATGATGATGAGCTGATCTGGGACATTCAGTGAGTTCTGCCTGTTTGGGTTTATGGGTGGTTTGGCTTGGGTCTTCTTTCAAATTACCCAGGTCTGCACATCCCTGGGTAATACCGTCTGGTGCAAATGGTTAAACTCCCCTTTTGTTTTGTTTTTCTAGTCATTTGATTGGGGGCTCTTACAGATATTATAACGATCCATAAATCAGTTATATTAAGCAAACTTGTACAGATGCTGCCATCATCATTTTCAAAACATTATCTCTCTTCCTGAGCCCTTTGATATCAGTTCCTCTTTCTTCCCTCCCTCTCTCACCCTCCACCCTCGTGAACCCTTACCAGATTATTATATATATTTTTTTCATATCTTACACCTCCAATGTATCTCTTCACCTACAATTCTGTTACTCATCGCCCTCGAAGGCAACTGGTTAAACTCTTGACTGCTACCCAGAGCCTATTGGTCTGCGCCCCAAAGGCCCCGGCCTTCAGAATCCTCTGGAGTAATTCTGCGCTGCAGCACACGGTCACTGGGAGTTGAAATCCACTGGTCGCCAGCTGACAACAACATCATCTGTGGCATACTTGTGAGGCCCTGGGTCTTGAGTCTTTCTGCACTTACAGCCATGTCCGTTTGGCCGAGATGGGAATACCACTTGGCTCGCCTGTAACCAGGGAGAATACTCCCCCCTCCACTTTCTGCTGGAGCCAGCTCCCTTTGACTCAAGCCCAATGTAGCATACTGAGTGCTCCCCCTTCCCTCAGCAGGCTTAAATTGGTCTGAGGGAACCACATCCCAGGGCCGCAGTTCCAATTGCTCTGACCAAGCCCTAGTGGTGTTCTTGGTGGCCCGCCCTAACTTGGCGTCGTGTATCCCGCCCCCCCCACCCCCCACCCCCGCCCGCTCTCCCTTTCAAGTCAGAGATGCTTAATGGGAAGCGGGGCCCGCCCCCTCTGGGGCAGTGAAACAAAAGTACCGCCCAGGTCACCCAGCTATGCAGAGAGCCGTCAGCAAAGTGTGCATGCTCCGTGACCTTTTGCCACTGGAAGCGCTTAGTGAAATGCCCTGTGCCATAGCAAATCTTATTTTCCTGAAGATCAGCAGACACTTTCTAGCGCTTGGCCACCTGGATTTGCCGTGGTAGTGATGTTTGTTTCCTTTGTAAGGTAGACCCATCATGCTCAAATGCGGGGGATGGCGTAGGTGACAGCATGGCAGATCCTGACAGGCAAACAGATGTCTCTCTCCCTGTGCTCCCCCTCGTCCTGCCTTTGACCTTTAGCATCTGTTAAATGTCTGTTCGAATAAGCGCCATCACGAAAGCTTGGACGGATGTGCCGTAGCACCAGAAGACCTTCTGCCCAGGGACCAGCGCCCTGCCCTGTCAGCACCCCTTCTTGTTGGCGTCTGTCTGTGTTCCCCAGACTCCTTGGCACAGCCCATGAGTGGTGCTTGAAGTGAAGCAAGCACTGACATACTTCTTAAGGAAAAGCCCCAAACTGGCACCCTGTCTTTGAGAATCAAGTTCCTGCCTTACACAGAGTGCCCCTTCCTCATTCCCACGTACTAGGTGTTCGATCTGGACTCTGAACTTGAGTGTTCTCTTACTTCTGTCTGGAGCAGGAAAAAACAAAAACAACTAGTGATTAATGCCAGGGGAGAGATGCCGCTGATGCGAGATTCTGCATTATTTCCATACATATATTGAACTTGAAGGCGTACTGATAGGCTCCTTGATATCCTTAAGAGATGACCACAGTCACGTTAGCCATGGTGCTTTTTTACAAAAAGAGCTCTGAACTGAATTGGGGTGGTTTTAGGCATCGATAGAGAGAATTGGGTTGCATTGACTTCTAAACCAACAAGTGCACCCAGACGCCCATGGGCAGGGAGCCTTCCTTTCATGAAATGCCCCTAGCGCTATTCGAGACTCCTACAGATACTCCATTGGAAACACCTGAGAGCTCTGTGCATGATGACTTCGTTTTATTTGAATCATGTTAACTTCCCCAGTTTGTTGGAAGCTGCTGGTTTTCAGTCAGCTCTGACCATCGTTTTCTATCTAGATCCATCCTTTGTTACTAAGTTGGGGCGACCTCCAAAGGACCACATATCCGCTTAACACATTCTCCTGCTTTGCCAATGGGATAAGCTTAAGAAGAAGGAAAAAAGGAAGCCTGCTTCTGTATTTTTTCTTTCTCTCTCGTTGCTACAAGCTATGTTAACTACTTACCTGCCAAAAAGGGTGTTGTTTCTTTTTAAATCCTGCTCTCCAATTAAGGTAACAAGCAGTGTTGATTTCAACAATGCCTGACATTTTATGAACCACTTAAAGAAAAATAAAATAGCGTGCCTTGAGCTTACACTTAGAGACACTGTGAAAGAATCCTTTTTCCTTAGGTCAGGCTGCCATTAACCTTGCTGTTAGAAAAGGAAGAATTTTCTAAAGAAAAAGTACTAGGTTAAATGAGATGGAAGGATTATGTTTGACTTACCTAGAAAATAACTTGTTTGGGCGCCAGATTCCTAGCACCGTTGTTGTGAAAAATCTATTTAGAATGAGTAAGTGGAGTATGCATACATGAGTTTGACTTGCAAGCACGCGAAGAGGGTTCACTGGAAAGACATATTAACCGGCCCAGAAGTGGGGGCCAGGTGGGATTCGAGTTATGTGTTAGAGAAATCTTAAAGCCCCTGGACCACAGCAAGATGCCTTATCGACCTTGACTTGTCACTAATTAGACTCTCAGAGTAAGCAAAGTTTAAATCTCAATCTCTATCCATGATTGGTTCTTCCTCTCTTGACCCCAGTTGACTTAGCTGGAGGTAAGTTACAGTGACAAGTGTCTGCCACGTGTATCGACTCCACATATTATCAAAATATGTATTCCTCGTTCTGGGAAAGATCCCTTCATCCCGTGTGAAAAACATACAAAATCAGAGCAGAAGAAGGAAACGTTATAGATCATAAAGGTTATAAAATAAAAGCACCTTCTTGTAGAAGTTGATCTTTCCCGTGGAGCTCTAAAGAAGAGGGTAGTTGGCTGTAGCCATTGCCGGTGGACGGGCAAGCCAGCCCCAGGAGCTGCTTTCTCGGGAACCATAGTGACAGCTGGTTTGGAGTTCACTGTGACCAATAGAATGTGGGAGTCTGCTTTGACCCGGAAGGGAGTTAGTGGACTGTACCCGGCCTCTTCCGAATGCAGGCATCACCACGACCATTTCTTTTTCTTTTTTTTTTCATCGTTCTATTAGGGGCTCATATGACTCTTATCACAATCCATACATACATCAATTGGGTAAAGCACATTTGTACATTCATTGCCCACCACGACAGTTTCATGCGCAGAAGGATATCCTAAACCAGAAGTTCTCAACCTGTGGGTTGCGACCCCTTTGGAGGTCAAACGACCCTTTCACAGGGGTTGTCTGATTCATAACAGTAGCAAAATGACAGTGATGAAGTAGCAGGGAAAATTCCCGAACCTAGTGAACGTTAGGGAGGCACATGTGTAATCCCACCATGTGTCCCCCAGGACGCAGCCGTCTCTCCCAGCCAAGTGGCATTGAAAACACTGAGCAGCCGTCCTCTGGTTCTGTTGTTTTCAAGGACACTCCCAGCCTGCCTCGCATGGTCCAGCAGCCCTTTTCTTGTCCCTGGCCACTCCCCTGCTTGCCCATATTGGGGCCACTCACAACATGAGGGTGGCGGCATGAGGAAGGTGGAGAACCCCTGCTCTAGAGCGTGTGTACGTGGTGCTGTGCCCAAGCAGGTTGGCTACCGCTGTTTGCCCTCCACACGCTTAGAGCCTCCACCCTGCAGCGCCTAGAGGACCGTGGGGAGGATTGAGAGTTGACAGGCTTTTCCTTGGGGTGACCCCACCAAAGACATGAACAGATACTTGTCTCCAGAGTTTATGCCAGAAAGCATCCTTCCCTCCCTCCGTAGAGGGGCTGGGAGGGAGCAGAAACTCAAATCATTATCATCGTGAACTTATTTTCTCGTATTCCTTTATTCTTTTTTTTTTTTTAATCATAGGGGGATGTTGTACATGTCCTTGACAAGGGCCACTTAGTTGATTTATTTTAAAAGCCTTAGAAACCTTCCCCTTTTTGCCCTTTTGTTTTTAACATAAAATCTCTCTCATTTGTTTTAGCTGGTTCCTCTCATTCAAAAAAGACAGCTGGCTCCAAAGCGTGCAGTCCTCCCTCTGCGTCATCCACCTCCTCTCGCCCCAAAGCTTCCAGGGAGATGGGTACTGGCAAACCAGGGGCAGCAGGCGTCACCAAGGGCAAGAAGAAAGCTGGCAAGCAGGCAGCCTCCCGATCGTCCTCCGAGGTGGCCACCCCGGGGCCTTCCGATCTTAAAGGAGATCCTTCAGAGACCAGAGCGGAGAGTCGCAAACCTGACCAGACTGTCCCCGGGGCTGAGGAGCAGACCACAGGCAAATCCAAGTCGGTGGTCCCTCCACCCCCGTTGGCTCCACCACCGCCTCCCCCAGCCCCTGCTCTGCCCCCTGAGGACCTGTGTGCTACTCCCTCCAATACGCCTATTGTCCTGGTCAGCAACGGGGCTGACCTGCCTGCCTCTGCCTTAGACCCAAGTCAGCTTCTTTGGACTGAAGAGACAGCCACTCTCCACTCGGGCACAGGCTTCAGTATCAGCCTAGAGAATGAGAGCGGGTGAGTCGGAGGACTCCATGCCCCTCATCCCCCACCCCCTGTTCCATCTGCATCCCACATAGATGCAGCTGAGCACCAAGATCGCCACACCACTGGGTTGGAACCACTGGCGCCTCCATGGTGTTCCTGTATTCTTGAACCTAGTGAACATTAGGGAGACACACGTGTAATCCCACCATGTGTCCCCCCGGGCGCAGCCGTCTCTCCCAGCCAAGTGGCATTGAAAACACGGAGAAGCCGTCCTCTGGTTCCGTTGTTTTCAAGGACACACCCAGCCTGCCTCGCATGGTCCAGCAGCCCTTTTCTTGTCCCTGGCCACTTCCCTGCTTGCCCATATTGGGGCCACTTCAGATCTGTACTCTGCATCCTGAATACCTTCCCACGCCTGCCCACCTTCCTTTCAACAAGCCACTTCACTTCCCCTTCCCCTGGAACAAAAGGGAAAGAAGCTTTTCGAATGCTGACTTTGTTTCCCCCCTCCAGCCTCTCGGGTCTCTCGGTACATGCTTCCTCGTTTCCTTAGTTCAAATGTCATTGCTTTGGTGAAGATGCGGTTCTTGCTCGGACATCCCATTTTATCCACCCGTGGGATTGGACTAGCCACTGGTCTTATGACCTCTCTGTATTTGATTACTGGAGGGAGCAATGTGGTACAGGGAATTCTGACCTTCCAGGTGGGAGACACCACCCCCCTTTGATGCCTAACCAACCCCCTTCATGTGCAAACACCAACAGTCTGACAGTGAATGGAGACTTGCATGTTGCTAGGATGCTATATATGTTTCAATGAAGCTTTCAGTCTAGGAAGGACTAGGAAGAAGAGCCTGCTGATCAACTCCTGAAACCAGTCAGCTATCACCTGTAGGTCACAGCTGTCTGATTCACAACCAGCCATGGGGTGGCGCAGGACTGGGCAGTATTTCATTCCATGTTGCCTGGGGTGACCATGAGTCAAGGGCAGACTTCATAGTAGCTAGCCATTGTATCTAAGAGCCAATAGTCTTGTATGCCATAGAGAAGAAATATAGAGTGAGCTAAGGAGTTATAGGAAAAATCAGCCAGTTTCGGGATAATGGGACCAGTATTCTGACTGCAACAGCCCTGCTCCAGGATTCTATAAAGAGAGTGTAATGTAAGGTAAGAGATAATGGTCGAGTTGTCTTGGTAGAAACACTAACACAAACAAAATGGGCCAAGGACCTTGATGTTCCCTTCTACCATCCAGGTCCCGTACCCTTCCCAGAAATCTGAGATTTGTCCCTGGACCCCTCATTCTCCTCTGTTTCCATCATCTAATTCGCACAGTGTTTGATAAAATTTCTACTTGCAGATCACTAAGTTGTGTTGGGTCTCCTACACTCCAGGTCTGAAGGGAGGGCTCCTGGAACAGATAATAATAATAATAATAATAATAATAATAATAATCATCATCATCATCAATTCGATTTGGTGAAGGCTTGCTGCTTCTCACCTCTTCCTAAGAATAAATCCTAGTCAAGTAAGTGTGGTCATTTAATATGACAAGTATTTTAAGCAAAATATTTGCCTGGTGAGACTATTTGTTTAATGAAGACCTTGGCTAATTTTGACCAAGAATAAAATATTTTCCACCTTAATTATTTCATAGCTGATAATAATAAGCAGCATAGAATAGTTCCTTAATGTCAGAAATGAGGCACCGTTAGCTGTTAACATTTAGTTCACATGGTCTTAAGGAGGAGCCCTGGTGGTGGAGTAGTTTATATGTTAGGCTGCTAACCACAAGGTCAGTAGTTCAAAACCACCAAGAGAAAGATGAGGCTTCCCACTCCCATAAAGATGAGGTTTCCCACTCCCATAATGATTTATGGTTCCTACTCGCATAAAGATTTAAGGGCAGTTCTGTTCTCTCCTATGTGGTTGGTAAGTCAGAATCAACTCAATAACAGTGAGTTTGGGGTCTTCTCTAAAAGGATTACTATATTATCCCTGTTTACGGATGGGAAAACTCATGCTGAGAGAGGTCACATAATTTACCCAAAACTGTTCAAATTCCATGATCTGAAGAATTTTATTAATTTTCTAAGGCAGTTACTTCTACATCTTCCCCTATTCTTTTCTTTTGTTTCTTTAAAAAATAATTTTAAAGGCTATCATTTGAAGGAAAGCAAGGGAGAGATAAACAAATAAAAATCAAATTATGAATCATTTTCTTTAAGTTTGACCTCAGAATATAAAAATACAGAGAATGAAGATAATGAAGTAAATGGTCGTGGTGACCCTAATTCTTCCAGCACATGGCAGAGGTCATTGCCAGCATCTCAGTGGTGTTCAGCCTTTAGAACTGAGTAGTCTTTCCACGTGTGCTTCTACGAGTATGCTTAGCTCACCATTGGTGTGCTGACCAGCCTGCTGAGCATCAAGGACACAAAATATTGTCAAACTTTCCCAGAAATCTTAAGTGAGAAAGATGAGAGCCAAGTTCCGAACTAACAGTATAAATTTGAAGGATCTATAAAAAACAAGGTCTTCATTTAGGGACACAGATTCAGAGCATGGGTGTATCATTCAGGATACCCAAGCACGTGGTCTACACACAGTGCTTCCTCGGTAAAGCCTTAAGCCCAATAGTGACTTACGTGTTCAGCTCATCCCCACAAATCTTGAAGGGGAGGACGAGACCACACTGTGCCCTGTGCTGCCTCTTGCGACCACGAACCCATTCTGATTCTGATGGCCCTGTGGGACAAAGCAGAACTACCCCACAGGGTTTCCATGACTGTGTAAGTGCCTGGAAGCAGACTGCCTCTCCTTTCTCCCACTGAACAGCTGCTGGATTCGAACCATTGGGCTTTCAGTTAACATTCAAGTGCCCTCACCGCCGCACCACCAGCACTGTGCCATGGCCTTTGCCCCACACAGCCTTCAGGCAAGTCTGTGAAGGCTGGTCAGACGAGGGGTGAGCGGCACTCTCCCTTTCCATGGGTCTGCGATCACGGGGAGCTTCTCAGCCATCAGACATTGTAAAAGACCCCCCTCTCCATCGAGGCCACTATACTGCCTTCCCAGAAGAGGCCCTTGGGCTGTTCTTCTCTGGATATTCTTCAAAAGAGCCCTTTAAATTACAGTCCGCCCCAGAGGAGTGGCATGTGTTTGCTCTTGAATGAATGAGCCCGGAATAAGTCATCTCTCAAATTTTCCTCCAATTTCTATTCCTCTTTTAAGTGGGTATTTGGATTAGAAATTTTTGGATCGCAGTCACTTGCTTTACTTAGAACTCTCCCTCGGTAATGTTTACTCAGCCGGTGTGTGAAAATCTGTCATTATATAAAGAGGTTTCTATTTGGGACATAAAGATCAAAACTTTAAAGAGGACAAGTGACTATGTGTAAAAACCCACACTTCTATTCGCATTTCATGAGAGATAAATGATTTAGTAGATTTCTGTTCATTGTCAGCTGCATAAATAAGGCTGTGTCTGGCATAAGGTGGGATAGGAATTAATAAGCGTATACATATACATGCATATATCTACAGCAACTATATATACATATATATACACATGCATACTCAATAGATGGACTAAGAGTCTAAAATCTGAGTTCCTGATTAGAATGCCCACTTTGAATGGTAACACACAAGACCTTCCTCGGTTCTGTGAACTGTGACCTCTCCACTCCTATGACTCTTATGGCTATTAGCTGCTGTTGAGTTGGCCAAAACCCAGGAGAACCAGCCAGTTAGCTCATAGTGGAATACTAGGCTGCCCAGTGCTGTGCCAGTCCATGATAACGAGGATTGGACCATTGTAGTCCATAGGGTTTTGACCAATTGATTCTCTTCTACTCTGTCTTAGTCTGGGAGCTCCACTAAAATCTGTTGTGCTTGGTAGCAAGACCAGGCCTCCACCAATAAGACAGGTGGTGGCTGTGCGGGAGGTGCATTGGCCAGAAATCATACCTAGGCTCCCTCAAGGATGGAGAGGAGTCTACAACTGGACCACCTTGGCACCTCACCCTCATCCTGTGCAGCATGTATAAGCGGGGAATTAGGCGGAACTCAGGAAACTGTAAAATATCGTAAAGGAAAAATTATGATCAATCTCATAATAAATTAAGGATTAATACAGAGGTTCAACACTCAACAATCTTCTGTTCTGTTAACCAGAGTATGTTATGAATGGCGAATCTTATGAAGGTGCTGTGGTCACCCCACTGGGCAGACTATTCAAGCAAGAAAGGCCTAGTTGGCCCATGGCAATTGACAAAAAAGAAAAAATCCACACTGTGGTAATGGTTTTTTCCCCCCATGAAAGCATATGTTTTATTTAACATGAAATGTCCTATTTCCTTCTTTCAGAGCAAGAATTTAGACTATTGCCTTTTTCCAATAAGTGAAAAGTAGAGAATTTAGAGAGCACTGAAGCTTCTAAATCCATAGAATTTTTTAAACCTCCTATTCTGACAAAGTTTACCTATTCTGATTAGCCAATGACAATCTTTGGTTGTTCTTTTTATTTTTTATTTGTTCTGTGTTTTGGACAGGGAGAGTAGCAGGCCCGCCTGATAGCCAGTAGTAGGTGGTTGGCGGACAGCACTAGGTCCTCTGCGTGCCTTGTGTACGGGTCACCATGGGAGCCAAGAGGTGGGGCAGTCAACTAGACTGAAGCATTCCTGAAGGAGCTGAAACATTCCTGAGACTTGAAGGATAATTAGGAGACCAAGTCAAATATTGCAAATCTTCTAGCTCACTGTTCTTTCCACTAAACCCCCATGGCTTTGAAAAAAATACAATTCGCAAAATATAGTGTGCCACACTCTTGCACTACATATGTTACTAGGCATCAGCTAGTCCAGCCTCTGCATTTGACAAGTGGAGCATCTAAAACCTGTGAGGATCTGGTACTAGACAGCCTCACTCATCTGTTTCCAGGACCTTAGCTGGCCTGTGGCTGCCTTCTGCTGTCCCTAGACTGAAGGTACCTAAGGAATTAGAGCTCCATCATGTGGGTTGGCACAAGTCCCATGAGAGTTGTACTGAGCTGCACAACGTTGTCTATCTTGTGCCTTTTACAGTTTCACAACCAAGGATGAGCTGGGAAAGGCAGCACCTCAGCTCCTGGTTCCTGGGATGATGGGCGAATCTTCCGAATCCTTCAGCGCCCCAGAGGATGAAGGCCAAAGGGAACACCAGGCCAATGACTCTGATTCCGATGGGCCGATTTTGTACACAGATGACGATGAGGATGAGGATGACGATGGCAGTGGAGAAAGTAAGACTGATTTTCCAGGGTATGAAGACAAGTGGTGAGCAAAAGCAACCAAGGTCTAGGTGCAATTCTGGGTTCCAGACTGGACTTGACACCTTGGTTGGGTACCTCCAAGTGAAGCATAAGTTAGCTGTTCTCCTTATGCGGTAGAAGAGTTGTGACTTAGAAATAGGCATGGATTGTTTGGGTTTGTTTCGGTGGGTGGCAACAAGTAGATATCCAGTGTTCTTTTTACTCTCATCTTCTTTCTCAAATTAGAAATATGTCTAGTCTCTCTGGGTCCCCTCAATGGCTGGGTATTGTTTTGTTTTGGTTGAGGGGGAGTGGCTATAGTCTGATCACAGCCATTCTGGATAATTCTATCAGGTGGGTGAAATCTATGAAAGAAATGGACAAGTGTATATCTGTATAAGCACCGAAGTTCTCGTGACCGGCCTTTCTCAGAAGCAGCAAAGAGAGCCCCATCTCCTGGGATCCTTCTTGAAAGAAGGGCGGCAGTGCAGGCATCATTGGATGGCTCACTAGAGGTGTTGGAGAGCGGCCTTCACATTCAGGCCGGGGCTTCAAGGGCAGGGAAAGAGCACAGCGGCTCAATGGTTAGGCGCCCAGCTCTGTACCAAAAGGCAGTTCAAACCCAGCGGCAGCTCCTCGAGTGAAAAGGCGAGGCAGTCTGCTCCCATAGGATTTACAGCCTACGAAACCCTATAGGACCGCTTTCTCTGCCTGGTCTTCAGGGTCGCTGTGAGTCCAAATCGATGCAATAGCAGACGACAGAGAGTGGACGGAGAAGGGCGTCAAAATGACCGCTGCCTTTCAAGATTAGTCCTGACCCACAAGGAGTGAGACGTATGCCTCCTAAGAAGTAATGATTGTAAAGTAGAAAAAGAGACTCATTTGTTCAGAGAATAGAAAAATTCTTTTCCTTTTTGCTTTGCTTTACTAACTAATGAGAAGCCAGCATCACTTGAGAAAGATTCCCTATGAGTTTGAATTTATAGGTTATGAAAAGTGATGACTAGATTTAGTGATCTAGCAACCTTTTGTCAAATTCCTCCTACTTTTACTGAGAAACACGAAACAATCCACCATTGTCATCCATCTATTATTGTGCCTGTAGGAATCCTGGGTAAATGAGGGTTAACACACTGATCTCAAGTGTAGACTTTTTTGCCAGCCTGGTAGGAGATGAAAAGGATTGATTATAAGTAAGAGCATCCAGTTTTTAAAATTTGAAAAGAAAGAAAAAGCATTATACAACTGGTAATTTCTAGCATACTCCAGTTCAGCAACATAAAGATTACTGCCCCTTCCCGGATAGATGATGAAGTGTGGTCATTGCAAGGGTTTTCATGGTGCCCAGCATTTTCCAGAACTGAGGGGGAAAAGAAAAAAAAAAAAAAAGCTAGCTTTCTGTTCTTCTCAAAATGAACTATATCCAACTCAAAACTTGCCCACCCCCACCCAGGTTACTTAAAATTCCACTCACTCGCTAAAATTCTTGGAGAAAGAATTTGGTCTGGGCCTCTGTTGAAAGTCCCTGTCACTTACAACCCAAGTGCCACTTCCTAAAGGCCACTTTCTCTGCGTGTCCGCCTGTTGCCATCTTCAGGTGCTCTGGCCAGTAAAATCCGGCGAAGGGATACTCTTGCTATCAAGCTTGGCAACAGACCGTCGAAGAAAGAATTGGAGGACAAGAATATCTTGCAGCGGACATCCGAAGAAGAGAGGCAAGAAATCCGACAGCAAATTGGAACCAAGCTAGTCAGGTAAGTGCTGAAGTGGTCGCAGAGGACTAACTCGTTCAAATGTTCCTGTATCCCCGCTCTTTCAAAACACCCAGAGGAGCAAACTCTGCCAGCCGGTGGTTCCCCATAGCACAGAGGAGACCTGCCTCCGTAGGTTTCAAGACTGTACATCTGGAGGGGACAAGAAGGCCTCCTCTTTTTCCAGCAGAGCAGCTAGTAGGGTCCGAACTTCTGATTTTGCAGTTAGCAGCCCAAGACATGACCCACTACAACCACCGACCCCCTTAAAGTTCCCGACCTAAGTGAAAAAAACTGTGATTTCCACATGCTGGGCTGCACTTAGGGCCTAGGAAGCTGGTCCTGGATGGTAAACCCCTTGACAAACCTGTGCTTTTCCAAAGCCTAAGCCAAGGGTTGGCAGACTTTTCTCTGGAAAGGGCCAGTGAGTAAATATTTAGGCTTTGAGGACCAGACAATTTCTGTGGCAACTCCTCGGCTCTGCCATGACAGCGTGAAAACACTCATAAACAGTGCATGAATGAACGAACACGGCTGTGTGCCAATAAAACTTTATTTACCACAACCGACGGCAGGCTGAATTTATCCTGTGGCCCAACATGTGCAGACTTCTGGCTTGAACTGTGGACTCACTTGTGCCAGAAGAATTGTGAGACTGTAGAAATACTATTTAGCTCCTTGGCCTGCCTCCATCCAAGCCAGGCAACTTTCTGTTTTACCTTCAAGGAAATGGCTTGTCTGGCTTCTCGTCCGGTGCCCAGCCATTGCGTAGTATTTCTGCTTTTTCCTGTACTCACTCCAGGATCCATTGAACTGCCAGGAAACAGTGCCATCAAGCTGGCACCATTTTCGTGGTGACTGCACTTATGTCAGAGCAGACCTGCGCCCGTGTGGTTTTCAGTGGCTGGGGTTTGAGAAGGGGATTGCCAGACCTTTACTCCAAGGCACCTCTGGGTGGGCTTGAACGTCAACCTTTCAAACCTGCCAACCTTGGCTTAGCACCTGAGCCTGCTTACCATCTGCACCACTCTTTGTTTAATAAAAGGAATTTAATTCATGTTGAAATCACTTTAATGTATAACCATAAACGGAGGCACATTTAATTATCAGTTATTCTACTGACTTCTCTCGCCCTCCGTAAACAACAGGGTCTTACATTGAGGACTGGGAACAATCTGGACTACCAGAACGAACGGGATTTGGAAGTCGGTAGAAATTCCTCTCCTAGCTTGGAAAAGGAAGACATCTGAGGTTGCGATGTAACCATAGGATTAGTGTAGCTGGGGTTCTAGAATCCACTGATAGTTTTTTCCACAGGAAAGCCTTAAGAGATCTTCTTATGGCTGAGATGTGCAGAAAATTCTGAGACAGCAGTTCTGACATCTAGCAGAAAATGCTCAACTTACATTGGTAAATGTTTGGCATTTTAGAACAGGTTTGTGGGTTTCCAAGCTCCAGACTCCTCCAGGACTCTGGAAGAAACACTCTAAGGGTTACACCAATGATGGGCTCTTCTCTCAAGTCCTCTTACCTCATCCCTAAACTTTGAGCATAAACTGCATCAGAAAATAAGCTAACAGAAGTTGATGCAGCTCAGAGGGTACAGTTGAGGCTGGAAAGAGCTTATAGTCCTAACTTGCCATCTTACAAATAAAAGTGCGGGAGAAAGCAGCAATCAGAGACAGGAGGACAGTTCTCAAGGACCTGGAGTTACTTAGCATCACCAGCCCTAGAACCTTGGTCCCTGAGCTCCCAGCCAACCTTCTTTCCTATTGTCTCCTAGTTTGTACTAATAACACTGTGTAGGAGAGTATATGCTTCGGGGTGTTGTGTTTTCCTCTCCTGGAAATGAGTGGCCTAGAGAGCTCACCAAAATCAAACTCACTGCCATGGAGTCAAAGTAACTCATAACGACCCCCCGAGGATTTTCAAGTCTGTAACTATTTACAGTCTTTCTCTTAAGGAGCTTCTGGTGGTTTTGAACTGCTGACTCTGGGGATCGTAGCCCAACTCGTAACCACTAGACCACCAGGCTCCTTCCTAGATATCTAGTGCTGCTGGAACAGAAATACCTCAAGTTTAAAAAACAGAGATCTATTTTCTGACAGTGTAGAAGGTTAGAAGTGCAAATTCAAGGGGCCTACTCCGGGGACAGCTTTCTCCCTGTTGGTTCTTGGGGGAAACACATCTACAATAGTAGCAACAACTCTGTTTTAAATATGCAACTGTTAATTTCACTGGAGGCCCTAAAATATTATTTCTGGAATTGATAGACTGTATGACTAAGAGAGTAGACCTTTTTTTCAATGAAAAAATATATAGTTAGCTAGTGCATCAGACAGGTGGGTAGCATGAAGATGCGTGGATAGCATGGATACTTGGTATCTAGAAAGCGTAAGAGATTACTTTTTTAAGTCAGGGCATGCATCGTGAACTAATTCTATAAAGTGAAACTATGTGTAAGCATCACGTTCACTCTGAGCAAACCAAAACACAAACAACCCCCCAGAACAGGAAGAGGAGCTTGTGGCATCGGGTTTGGGGTTCTAGTGGGTGATCCAAAAGACAGAGAAACAAAAAAAAAAAAAAAAAGAGAGAGAGAGCGACACAGTGGATACGAGAGAGCAAGATAGAGCTTTTATTTGGGCCCATGCAAAATGGAGCTAACTAGCCCAAGGACTTGGGAGATTAAGCGAGATGATATATTTAAGGCATTTTAGTGCCTGCTGCATAGCAAATTCTCATCAAAGTTCATTTCATACCTTCCAAAACTGTAACCTCATGTTGACACCTTTCTGGAAAATGGGACATGTATACATTGTTCTCCCTTACTATTTCCAAATTGCGATGAATGCGGTAGCCATAGCAATGAGCTCAAAGTATCAACAATTAGGGAGATGGCACAGGGCCAGGCAACATTTTAGTCGCTTATCCATAGATGGTGTCACCGTGAGTCACAGCAGATTCGTTAGCAACTAACAACAATTTCACAATACAGAAAAAAAGCAAGGATTTTAAAGTCATCCATTTCCTTGCATGGTACTTTCATTTGGAAGACTATAAAAGAAGGAAATAATTCCGAGGGGGCTCTGTTCCACAAAGATGTTTATGACAAAGCTATTTATAGTCTTGACAAGTTATAACAAACGGAATGTTTGAACACAAGAGACTAATGCAGACTTGGGAGGAGCTGACCATGTGGCACACCGGGTGAGAGCCATGGGTCCTCATGCTTCCTCAGGGTGCCTTAGAGAAGACGCCCAGCCAGAGAAGGAGGGCATGGGTGAGGGCAGATGATGGGAGGAGACTAAGCACCCCGGAAGTAACTGTCCAACTACAGCTCCTCTTTGGTCTGGGTGCCGTATTAGAATCCCACCACTCCAGTTGCCCTAAATATGCAGCTCATCTTTCTAAGAAAATCTGATGTAAGAACTTTGGCAGAGTTGTTTTGTTTCATTATAGTTAAAATACCTCTATAGCAACATATGCACCAGTTCAACCACTTTCACGTATACAATTCAGTGGCATTGAATATGTCTCATTATGTTGTGCAAGTATTATTGCTGAACATGTCCAAATTTAGTGATGGGAAAGACAATACCCAATCTGAATGAAATTTGCACACTATATTCAAGGTAAATGAAGGTGCTAAGAAGCATGGAAGGACATGGACAATTTTGGGAAATAGTAAGCCATACAATTTTGTAACAACAATAACAACCAACAAAATATGTATGTGGTCATATAGGTAGATATATATCCATATGTTTAGGAAGGTGTATATGAGTGTGCATGTATTATGTATCTGTAAGCATCTATACATGTATGTTTATGTGATTATATATATATTATATATTATATTATATATATATATTATTTATATATATATAAAACCAGATAGGGGCTGCAACACAGATACTTCCTAGACATAATCAATTACCTCAGAAAATTGGTTTATCAGATTTGAAAACTTAGGGCCATAGTTTGATGGGCAAACTCCATTCATTGGCATAAAATAGTTCATAAAAATAATGTTCTACATTCTAGTTTAATGTGTAGCACGTGGAGCTTTAAAAACTTAAAAGCAGCCCTCTGACATTAGGAGCTACCATCTCAGAAACTCAGGGGGCGGTTCTACCCTGTGCTATAGAGTCGTTATAACTCAGCGTCGGCGTGATGGCAGGGAGTTTTGAGAAGGTTCTACTATTGCTCTGTGCTTGTCTAGAACGAAAGAGGAGGCAGGTGAAACCACGATAACTTGATTGGTGCTTTGCTTTGCTGCTTCCTGTGAGGAGCCCTTGTTGGTAACCTGTGCGTATCTGTTCTGTCATCACAGGCGACTTAGCCAGAGGCCTACTTCTGAAGAGCTAGAGCAAAGGAATATCCTCAAACGTGAGTAGTCCGCCTGTCCAAGGTACCCAGTAGCAGCCCCTCTTCTAGAAGAAGCTGTTTGTCCATCTCATCATTACTCACTGTCATTGAGTTGATTCTGATTCATAACGTCCCTATAGGACAGTGGAGACCTACCTCTGTGAGTTTCTGAGACTGTGGCTTTTTACAGCAGGAAGGCCTCATCTTCCTCCCTTGGAGTTGCTGGTGGTTTCGAACTGCTGACCTTGTGGTTAGCAGCCCAACATGTAGGCACTATGCCACCAAGGCTCCTATCCACAACTGATTGAAATGGCCCATTTCTAGCATGATGTTTATGTATGTTAAAAGATCATTTACTGAAATTTGTGTTTCATCGGGTGAATTTGACCTGATACCTCCCAGAGCAGAGCCAGGGTCTATGACAATATTTTTAAGAAAAATTAAAACATGGATCATATATTTCTCCACCCCAATATTAAACAGGAGAAAATGGTAATATCTACTTTTAAACAAATGTCAGAGGATTCATAAGGAAATACAAGGGGGTCCCCTAAGCCTCAAAATAAATAGAAAAAAGCCCCACTGGGTGGAGCTTTTGAATTGTGCATTTTTCCTGCTAGGCGAGCACCTAGCACTTGCTCTGAGTTAGTGCACCCAGTGGCGTCACCTGGGAATGTTCTCTTTGGTCACAGTGAATTTTTTCATAAAAGCAGTTTCTCTCAAACCTCATTTCTTGTGATGGCAAATTTAAGAGAACAGTGTGCGGCTATGAAATTGTGTTTCCTGTTCAGGGAAAATGCTGCAGAAACTGTTGTGATGTTGAACACAGTTTACAAGGACAGCACAATGGGAAAAACTCAAGTGTATGAGTGATTCTCTTTTCAAAAATGGTGAAATGTCAATTGATGATAGACCTCATTCTGGATGTCTGTCAACTTCCCGAGCATACAAACATGTTGACAAAATTCTTGCATGTGTGCTCAAAGACCGACAATGGCCCATTAAAGAGATGGGGGAGTGACCTGGACTATCATGGAGTTCAGTGAATTTTCCTAAGATTTGGGAATGAGAAGGGTCGCTGCAAAATTTGTGCCTCAAGTGGAAACGTGCCCTGCTTTGAAAGAACAGCTCCAAAGCAACCCAGACTTATTTCCAAGGTCATGACGTGACATCGTGCTATTCTTACCCCCTGAACGCAAACACCAATCGAGCTAGTGGAAGACACCATTGTCACCTTGCACCCCAAAAGCTCACCAAGTGATATCAAAGATCAAGACAATACTCATTGGTTTTTTTGATATGAGGGGGATGGTGCATTTAGAGTTCGTGCCACCAGATCAGACTGTTAATCAAGCTTTCTATTTAGAGCTTCTGAAAGACTGTGTAACAGGTGTGACAAAAAAGGCCTGATTTGTGGCAGAGGACTGGTTTTTGCCTCACGACAATGTTCCTGTTCACCCAGTCATCTCAGTGCACCAGTGTTTGACAAAAAGCAGCATGCCTCTCTTGCCCCACACACCTTACTCACCTGACCTCACTCTTGGCGGCTTCTTTTTGTTTCTGTGAATGCAGAGAGACATGAAAGGACAGGGATTTGATGATGTAGAAGAGGTGGAGAAAAGAATGAGAGAGGCGCCGTCAGCCATCCAAATAGATGAGTTTGAAACCTGTTCCCAAGAACAGAATCGCAGATTTGACAAATGTATTCAGTGTAATGGAGAGTACTTTGAAGGTGATAAGGTTGTTTTGTTAAAAAAAAAAAATTTTAAATACAGAGCTTTGGGGGGAAATTCCAGGGTTTTATTGGTGGGGGGAGTACCCCCTCATATATCAAATTTCCTCATATTATTGTCAGGTACTGTTTCTTCCTGGCTTTTATAAATGCCTCAATTAAAAAGAGAATCGTGGTAAAAAAAAATTTCAATTCATGTCATACAAATTTATTAAAAAATCTGCTTCTCTCATGAATTCAGAGTCCTCTGTACATGAGGGGTTCTTTTGGTAGTTTCCCACTTTGTTTCTCCACGCTGTTCTCTTGAACTTGATTTTCCTCCCAGGTCCGGTCGTGTCTTAAGTTACTGGCGTTAGTATATGAAAACTGTGAACAGATGGAAACATCACGGGGCACACTATTGAGTGTCAAGGCAGCTGTTAACCACAGTGAGTTCGGAATGGCTAGCGTGCAGTTAAACCTCCCTGTAATTGTATACAGTGGAGTTTAACAAGGCTGCAAAAAACCTTCTTAGCAGGTGCAACAGAAGGACAGAGATGGACAGCGCTCTGAGTAGTATACTGCACTAGTCATGGCCACACGGCGGATTGCCTCATCCCGATTCCCTACTTGGAGTATGTTTCTCTGATTGTGTATTTACACTGACCACTACGATTACTAAGACCGCCCCCAAAGCAATGGTTGTATGCAGTCTAGCTGTGTTTGAAAAGAAAACTACACCCTTGGCCATTGAGGCATTTCTGACTCATAGAGACCTTGTGGAGCAGAGTAGAGCTGCCTCTTGAGGTTTCCGAAGCTGGACATCATTACAGAAGCCGACTGTCTCGTCTTCCTCCTACAGAGCAGCAAGCAGGCTCAAACCTCTGACCTTTGTATACAGAGTGCTTCTAAGAAAAGATTCTCCACAGTGAAAGGCACCGCTGTCCACGCAGTGTAGAAGGCTGCTTCCGGCTCGGATGACCATAACTGGCATATGACTTTACGTATCCCAAGAAAGAGGTTAGGTGGCTAGCAATGTGGAAAAGAGCCAGTTTCGAGGAGGGACGAGGGCTTAGCTAGCAAGAAACAAATGTGTCTCAACTTTCTGAGGAGGGATGGAAACAACATCTGTGTTTGACACCACAGACAAGCAAAGCGTGTAACTTTTGATCCTAGGTGCCTGGGAAATATCGGTGAGATTACATGTTAAGTAAGCCCAAATGCAAACCAGAGCCTCCTAGGACACAAAGATGATGTCCTATTGGATTCCGGCTGAATCGCCCAGAAAAACAGCGCGAGAAAGAGAATGTGGTCTGGTTGAATTTTTTTCCCCTGCCCAGCGAGACAACCAAAACCAGAAATGCATGGGAACTAGATTATTCGAGGAACCATTTCACGGACCAGGAAATGTGTCACACGCTGATCTTTTGGGGGCCGTGTTGGCTTTTATACCCCCCCTTCTCTCCTGGGGACCTGAATGCGTGAGACACCGCCGTCAACTTCAGCTTTGACTTCAGACCTTTTGTGCTTCCTTCTGAGTTCATGGAAGCCTGGTTATCCTGCAAACAAAGGACAGATTTCTCGTGTGGAGAGGCTGATAGCTAGCTTATGATCTCTGGATGGACTCTGGTACGGCCAAAGCAAGCAGGAAAGAGCTGGCGACGTCATGCCACGTGTTCCAGTGAGCAGTCCCCGGGAACTGGAAGGCACAGCATGCACTGTGTGCACCCTTCCCTGGCCCTGATGGCCTTTACAGTCTTGACTCTAGATGGCTCTCTGTCGCTCTGCTGTTTGTTCATTTAATCTCCAGCTTTTGTTCCAAAGAAATACGATTGTCTATTTAAAGAGAGAGGAAAAACAACAAACCCTGGCTGTGAGATAGGGTGGCTTTTTTTAAGTAGGTCACCTTCCCTTGACACACAAGGAAAACAATTCGCAGCAGAAAACACTCAGCCCACCACTGTTTTAACAGACACGCGTCAGATGGCCGCAATGCTAATAGCTTTCATGGGCAACCAGGGAACAAACGTCTTTTTCTTCGCATCATTCTCAGGCCATGCCTGCCTTGCTTCCTTTTTGTCTTTTAATGCCGCCAGACTGTTAAATATAGGAGGGAGCTTCAAAAGGTTGGTGGACAAATGGATAGAGTGGGAGTTTGCCACGAACTTGTTGAGGTTCCCCTGGGAGATGTTGTTGTTCGCTGCTGCTGAGTGGGGCTCGGACTCAAAATAGCCGTGTGTACAACAAAAAGAGATGCTGCCCGGCTGCCTCATTCTCACCCTCATTGTCATGTGTGCGCCTATTGATGATTCATCTCTTTGAGGGTCTTCCTATTTATTTTTTTTTTGACTGGCCCTCTACCTAACCAAACACATTGTCAGTCTCCGAGGACTGGTCTCCTGACAACATATCCAAAGTAAGTGAGAGAAGGCCTCCGTATCCTCACTTCCAGGGAGCATTCCCGGTGTGTGTGTGTGTGTGTGTGTGTGTGTGTGTGTGTGTGTGT